TATCTATCTATCTATCTATCTATCTATCTATCTATCAACCAATCTATTTATCTATCTATCCATCCATCCATCAACCCACCCATCCACACACCCATCCATCATAGCATCTCTTCTCCTCCCCGGCTCATTAGCTCTGCTCGAGGAGGAGAACATCGCAGAGTTTTCTTGCTTTTACTTATCATTTTGACGGGTTGTGGTCCGGTGCTGAGGATGGCTCTGTTCACTTACGATGAAGCGACATTTCTGGAAGGTTAGCAAGCCAACAGTCGGGTGGAAAAGAGAGGTAGGCCAGCGAGGCTAGAGACTATATTTTTAGATGCTACGAAAGCGAGGACATGCCAGCTCTATACGGAGAAAGTAGTCTGTAAGCAAACAAAAAGTGACGTGATTTCATCAAGGTTATTTTATTTTTGAGTTATTTGCCTCTCCTTTCACCAGATCTACTACTTATATACTACTTTCCGGGTGAATATAGGCAAGGGCCAATGATAAATTAGAGCTGTACGTCAAAAGGCAAGTGCAGGTGCCTCAGCTGACCGTGTGTTTCTGAGACATGTCTGCAATACTCAATTTGAGGTAGGGCAGGGTCAGTGGGGACTTACTTTGGCCTGGCTTGAATGCGGACGCCAGAGCTGAGGCGATGGAGTCACTCGGCGGACTCCAGGCGCCTTCGGAGCCGGCGAATACGGTTGCCTTGTAGCTGGTTGACGGCGTGACGGCGGGAAAATCGACAGCTTGGCGGGTCAGATGAGGAAGCATGACAATAATGGAAGTATGAGAGATCGAAGGATCGAGGGATCAAGAGATAGGAAGAATGAGTCAGCATTTAATCATAGTATATAAACGTTAAGGGATATAGGGATCAAGGAATTGGGTAATTGGTGGTCCAGGGATGGAGAGATCAAACTATTAAGGAATCGAGAAATCGAGATGTATAGGGATCAACGGATCAGAGATACAACGATTGAGCTTTCGAGGACGCGAGGGCTCGTAGGATTGCTAGTTCAAGGAATCGAAGGATCAAGGGATAGGAAGAATGAGTCATCGTTTAATCATGGTATCTATACGGCAAGGGATATAGGGATCAAGGGATTGGGTAATTGCTGGTCCAGGGATGAGAGATCAAACTATTAAAGGATCGAGAAATCGAGACGTATAGGGAGCAATGGATCAGAGATACAACGATTGAGCTTTCGAGGACGCGAGGGCTCGTAGGATTGCTGGTTCGAGGAATCGAAGGATCAAGGGATAAATTAATGGTTATAGGGATCAAGGTAATGAGGTGCCAATCGAGTCATTGAAGGATCGCTTAGTCGAA